GTTGTAGGAATATGTGCAAGGACAATCATAAGCCTGCTGCGAGGGAGCCTTCTTGGTAGCTGACCCGACCCACTATGCTGTGTCTGGGGAACTGAAACAACGGGTCAGTGGTTGAGTTTGCCAAGTGGGTTGGTTCATGCCATATGCAAGGTGTGGTACCAGGGCAGTCAGGTTGAATATTAGGTGTATTCAAAGAGTCGACAAAAAAAGTCCTGTAAACTTTCCTCTGGCTGGCATTCCCCTCCATGCTGATGGCATGTGTTGGACTCTGAGCTACAAGTCTGACCCATGTGTCAGAACTGTAGTTCCTATGGGCAACATCACAGCACATAGGAACAGCAGATCCCCACTGATGTCTACAGGAACAAACTCCATATCTTAGGACTGGCTTTTTCCCTCTGTGAAATTGTTGCAGAGCAGCTTCACCAAGTCTCTGCACATTAAGTTTCTTTTCAGGGCTTGCAGTAAATATCTGTGTGGCCTCTGATCCTGAATTTTGGAACTTTATTTGAACATACATTACTTAATTTAATTCTCAGGTTAAAATCTGGCTCTTGGTGTTGCTCCTCTCAGCTTCCTTCAGTTACAGATTCCTACCAACTCTTCCAAGGACACTCTTTCCTGCACAAAAGGCAATGATCTGGTGTCACACCCAGACCCTGATCTTAGTAGCAGTCATGCATCCCTGAGTTAATTTCTAGTGGCAACAGCAATGCCTCATTCTAAGATAAATGGAGGCAGATGTGGCTGAACCTGAAGGAGAACATTAGGTGCCCCTTCTCTCATCATGGCTGTGGTGCCTGCATGACAGATCAGCCAATCCACTCTGTAAAGAAAATGCATGTGAACTCTGCTCTGATGTCCAAAAGCTGACTTACATCCTGTGTACCTCGAGACTGCCTTTTCGTCACCACCCTTCCCTCTCGAAGTATTAATAGCTTTATGGTGAAATAGTTTCAGTTTTAACAGGAGAAGGAAAAAGAAAAAGTAGAACAAGGACTCGAGCCAGATCCTCACCTGACATAGCCTTGATAAAAGGCACCAAACCTACATGTATCCCAGTGTGTGTGTGTCTTTTTGTCACTAAGGCAAAATCTCTTATCACGATGTTAAAAATTCTATAAGCAAAGAGATAGGCAACTGCTTTTTTGTCAGCTCAATTCCTTGTTCATCCTAAATACATGCAGCATGTTCAGGACAGTTCTCGCATCTGAATCTGAAGGCAGAGCATTAACCTTTATAAGCTTCAGGAGGGATTTAAGCTTCCCTTGATTTCATATTTTACCTCTTGTTATGTGTTACATAGCCGTGTGACAGGAACAACGCATTGTCCTTTTGAAATGCCTTTTATTTAATGACTTCAAAATGCTTTGAAACTATTCGCCATTTGAAATAAGAACTGGGTCAGTTCTGCCTTCCTCATTTTAGAGATGAGGACAAACAGGTAGAGAGGTTAAATGATTTGCCCTGCAAAAAGGAAATGTATGTATAGTGCAGTTTGGAAGAGAACCTAAAACTTTTGGCTCTATTACCTCTGTACTTACCACAGGAATGGATTTCCTCCTTCTGTGAAAATTACTTCCTCAGCTATCATTGACAGTGAGGCTACCAGCCAGAAAATTATAATTAAAGACAACCCAAAGAAGATCAGCAGCCCAAAGCTGAGCTTTCTCTCTCTACAACAAACTGGACAGATGATCTAGAGGAAGCCTTTAGAAGAGAATGGGGCTGGCTCCTGTGTGTTCGGCTGATGGGTGAAGTAACTGTAAAAAGTCTCAGGGTCTCCCAAACCAGCCTTGTACCTGCTGCCAATAGCCCAACCCAGCACCCTGTGAATGTGGGGCAGAACTGGAGCAAGGAATCAAACTGCAGGGTATTTGCCCAACCGCATACTTCTAGGAAACTGCAGAGCACCAGTACCTGGCTAGCCAACAGACGTACTAAAGATTTCTTCTTTCCATTTCTGTTTGCTTTCATTTATAATCAAACCCTGAATGAGGAATTCACTGGGAAGTACATTGCTCTTGATAATCTCTTTTATTGAAGGGCCTTGTGATAATTTGTGTTTTTCTGGTAGTGAGAGTTTCTGGAGAGATGAGGTTTCATGAGAGTCTCAGTTTTTATTTAACAGTAAAATGAAGTTTCTAGCCATCATAGTTGCAGAGAAAAGCCTATGTGACAGCTCAAAGAATACACAAGCTTGAAATGTGCATGCCAGGCCATCTACATGAAATCACCCTGAAAAAAAATTAACACAGGTCTCAGTGTGTTGTTTTATCACCTTGCAGAGGAATTGCAGGCTTAGAAAGCAGAAGCTGTTCTGAAGCATTTCAAATATGTCAGATTTATTCCCAATTTATGTGACAGTACAGTGACAGTAGGTCAAATGAAACTCAGTAACATTTCAATAAAGTCTCAACAAAGCATCTCAGGAAGTTTAAAAAGAGCAAATCAAATGCATAATTGTGCTACACCATCTTAGAATTACAAAAAGAATAATCTGCATTTGTACCTGCCTCCTATCCAAGGATGTTGCATTCCCACACAAACTGCAATGCACTTTGCAACTCCTATTTTTAGTCACAAAGTTCATGAGGATTTCCTGAGTGGAAAAGTTGCTTACTAAAAACAACTCCATAGGAGTTCCTTCAGCAACTTTCACCTTTGGCTTGAAATCTGCCTGTATTTACTTCCAGTCGTGTCTGTATCACATTTTCTTTTAATAATCAGGTTTTGACTTATGAAGGAAAGTTTCTCCATCTTGTGATTCATGTGAGACCATTTCAGTGCTACGGCAATCAGCATGAAGTGCTTTTGACTGCAATATAAAACGTGCCATATAAGCCTTTGAGGAGAGTCCTCTGACAGCTAAAGTGCTCTTAGACTGAAGATGAGCAAATCCACTTCCCAAATATACTGATTCTCTTTCTGCAGCTTTCCTTCTTGCATATAAACACTGCCACAGTACCTAGTGTGATGACATGGTCTTGTCAAGTGAGTTGTGCAAAGCGAGGGATACAGGAGCAGGAGAAGTTGTTTTAGTCAACACTGCTGGTCCTGGGGTCACCGAAATTTCCTTAGATGGCAGCCAAGTTTCATCTTGTTATTAGATACAGCAAGGGGATGTCCCCTGCTCCTGTTGTGTCTGTGCATCTTGATGCAGTCCAGCTGGGTTATGTTCACCTGGAGCTCCTCAAAGTGGTACCACTATTTGTTCGGGTAGGAAACGTCATTATCTTTGTTCTGTAGCATGGCACAAAAACCTCAACAGATATGGCTCAGGGGTGTTGTATGAATTTTAAAGTATAGACCCTACATGAAGAAAAACTTGATTTCATTATCCTAACAACTTTTCCTTCATTCTTGATGCATCCTTGGAAAGGAAGGAAGAAGACAAGGTCTCCAAAGACATGACAGGATTTCCAGCAGGAAGGGCAGCATGTTCTTATCTAAGATACTTACTGGAAGGGGAAGGATGGGAAATGTTGATTCATCAGTAACTGTTGTGGAGCAAATATTTAAAAAATGGCTACATTTTCGTGTTGTTTATAAATAAGCATGTTTTTAAATGCCATGTGGAGTAAGATTATGCTGGGAATCACTGATGTGATCCTGGACAGTCTGGCAACTTTGTGTGAGAAACCAGCACCTTTTTTTAGTTATCTACAGAAATAAAGAGGGTGTGGGAGTCCCTGGAGCCAAACAGATGAGGGACCAAGGAGTTATTTACAGAAACGGACTGGAACATTCATGCTTGAACAGGGACCATGAGGTGTACAGGGACTGGAAGAGACAGCATGACCAGTGGAAAGCAATGACAGCCCCTTCTCATTCACATGAAATATGGCAGGAGCTGATAGCAACTGCAGAAATTATCTTTTTAGACAGAAATTGATTTTCACAAGATTCACAAGTGCACTGGCATTAGCAGAGCATGTACAAAATCCAATGTTTGCTTTCACCCCTCCAAATGAACAAAACATCAAGAATTTTGACAGTGAAGGACCTGGCTCTCTGAAAAGTAATTTTCAGTGGACCTGCAGATTCTCTTCCTGCAGGCTGAAGGACAAATATAAGTATTCTTTCCCACGTGACAGGTTACTGGAGTCTACCTGCCGTTTTGTCCCGTGAACACAGCATGTGAGCTGGCTGGCTTGGACAGCAGATAGATAAGTGCCTGGCCAGCAGCTAGGGATGAATACATTTCTCTCTGTGTTCAATCTCTAAGTGTCCCCTGCACTGTTCTGTAGCTTAATTTTGTGACAGACATAAAAAAAAGGAGATGATTATTTAAGGGTAATAACAATGTTTATTTAAAACTATTGCATCTAAAACAGCAGAAAAAAATAGATTATACCTTTATATCCCAGTATGCACAATAATATTGTTGAATTAGCTCAGTATGTGCCAACAGGACATAGCTTGCTGCATCTTCCCCTTTTCCTGTTATCAGCCACACCAATGATGGCAGAGAACATTTTGTCTTTGCTCCTTGAGGCAAGTCCTTATGCAGCATTGCTTTTAAGCTGTTGATGATTTTCATGTCAAAAGCAACCAGATTTTAGGAGTCAAGCAGGGCTTGTCAGATGGTTTAGGATACTGGTATTGAAAGACTGAATGCAAAATAATCACTTGCTTTGGGGAAGTGGAAGGCAATGGGGAATAAGACAGAGCCTGAAATGATATGTTTCCCTGTTGATGTGTGCATCTGAGAGATCCCTGAAATGTCAAAATCATAAAAAATGTCCCAAAAGCTTTTAAATGATGGCAAGTATTACAGCCAAGCACCCAGTGATGCTTGAGCACCACATAAGCCATGAGTGGAGCCAAGCAGGATGCAGCCAGCACCATGGGTCTCTCCTGGAGACAGAGGGGCTTTACGGGGTGGGGCTGATGATTGAATCACAGCATAATTCAGGCTGGAAGGGAGCTCAGGTCTGGAGATTCAGCCACCACTCAGGGCCAGGCCAGCTCCTTCTGAAATGTAATTTATCTTCTAGGAAATGTGACGAGTCCCCTCCGAGCAACTAGCCAAAATCTGTTCCACTGCACATCACCTGAGCACTATCTGGTTGAGGGTTGTTTGTTTGTTTGTTTGTTTGTTAAATATTTTCTCCCTCCTTCTTGTAAACAAACAAGAACTATTTCTCGCTTAAAAACATGGAGGTGGGTGAGGGGAGAGGAGCATGGAGAGGGACAGGAAACCAGGAGCACAGAAAGGAGGAAATATTCTCCCCATATGTGGAGACAGGAGAGAGAAGGTGGGGAGGCCACCAACATACAAGTTATTAACAGGGTTGAGGACGTGTTCTTTTACTTGCGATAACCGATGAAACCAGCTAATAAAGGAAAACCATAGTTTTTAAGGCAGATGAAAGGTAGTCAAGGAAACCCAATATCTTCCTTTCTTTACTGTCTAGCCTCAAGATAAACACATTCTCTGATACCGATGCCATCATGATAAAATCACATTTTAAAAATATCTATACCTGCACTGCTAGTAGTGCTAGATTATTAAAATGATGGGAACTGTTCCCATTTGTCTGGCAATTCCATCACTGTGCCACTATTAACTAGTGCATCCCCGTTTGCCACCAGGAAGAAACATCCAGGGACAGCCTTCTCAGCTTAAGGACCATGGACTTCATTTAACAGATGAGGAAATTATTTGAAGTGCCATCAAACATGGGAATAAATGGTAATGTCTGTGCTGCTTTCAGAAGGGGGACCTCAATGTGTGCTGAGGTTCAGCTCCTGTTGTGAGAGAGGAAAGGTAGGAGTAGAAGCAGGAGCCTGTGTGGGCCTCCTCCAGCTTTGGTGTCCCTCACTGCTCCTCTCCACAGCAGCGATATGGGCTCCGTCCTGGGTGGACCTGGCATTACACAGTGGGGCATGTGATGGTGGCTAAGCTACAGCCAGCAAAAAACTTCCCATCCCCTCATACACAGGCTCTGGTTATGAATTTTGGATTTAGCTCATCTTTGTTTCAGCAACCAACATTTTTCCTGCTTCTTCATGGCTGGATAAAGTAACTAGGCGGGGGTGCTTTGTTAGTCATGTGCCTTACACTGATGTTGGCATGTTAGGGAGGGTGCCCCTTTGGGTGGCTGACCAACCCCAAATTGCCTCTGGACTGATTGAGAGAAGGAGAGCAAGGCAGTGCAGCCCCAAGCGGCATGGTGTGGGAACTGACGTCAGGTCACATTTTATGAGAAATATTTACATGTCCGGGTCTGATAAAGCTTCATTGTGAAGCTGCCAGTTTCCTTCCAAGGGCTGCGAGGACGGCTCCATTGTGGCTCTGAAGGAAACAAGGACGGGGTGGAGACTCATCCAAAAAAATGCATGAAATATTTTACAGATGAACTATGGAGAATCTGGCGGGAAGCAAGGGCAGGGCAGGGCAGGGCGGCAAGGGGAGTCTGCTGCACGCAGACAGCAGGCTACAGTCTTGGCTGACACTGTGGGGCATTTGGCACTCCTAGGGCAGGGTAAATGCAGAGATAACTGGGCAGGGATGTGGGTGTATAGCGCTTAGCTCTACAAGGCCGAGTTTCCTGTGGCCTTTAGCACTTCTGCTATGCAGTTCTTGAGCTCTTAAACAGGAACAGAAAGGTCATCACCGCCTTCCCCCTGACTTGGGAGTGCTCTTAGATGCTTTGCTGCCTAGGGCTGCCCTAATTCACCCCATGCCTGTGGTGAGCTCCTGTGGTCTGGCAGCATCATCTTCCGAAAGAGCCTCCTCCCACAGTGAGAGCAGTCAAAAGCAGCTAAAGGGCAGAGTGTAAACACTCATCCCGTGGAAATCCCAGGAGTTGAAACATGGTCATGTTTCCACTGATAATGCACTTAGGTAGAACCAGAGGCTTCAATGTAGTTTTGTGCTTTTTCATCACACTTATTAATGATTTTTCTGTGAATTTCTACCCAGATGATGATGACAATATTGTGGGAACTCGGAGTAAGATAGCAATAATAAGTAACTGTAAGTAATAATCAGTTGGTCATGCTGAGCTCTCTAGACACAGTGCTTTTCATTCCAAGTGATTCCCATGCACTTGCATGTGCTGGCTGAGATTGCCCCCATTAATTTCCTGCAGAAGCTGGGGCTGTAAGCACTTCCAGGCAGTACCAGAATTGATCACGTCACTGTACTTGCATCTTGGTCTTACACAGATATTCTGTGATCTGGAGGACACAGATCATTAGGAAACTGCTTTTAGCTCATCTTTTACTCCTCAGCATCTGCCCTGCTTTCTTCTAACTGATGTGGGTAATTGATAGTCCATCATGTTGGCTCAAAAGGGATCCAACAGTAGGACATGGTACGTGGATAGCACAGCCTGAGCAGCTTTGAGAACCTGCATGATTAAAGCCTTTTGTGCCTCAGTTTTCTCACCCATGGGGGTGGAACACCATGAAGTACCCTGGCACGGGCAATGCTGGAGGGAAGCTAAGGTTTGCTGAGCACCAACTAAAAATGCGTTCACCCATCAGCAGGACACAGCACTCGGGTGGAGTTGAGCAGCTGGTGAATAAATCCCAGCACCTTCCTGTGCCATGTGGTTCCTTCAACCATCTGGTCCTGCCTGCAAACCAAGCCCTGCTTGTGAGGTACAGATTAGACTAGAAATAATTGCTCTCTCTGAGTGAGTAATGTGGAATTGCTGGCCTGTCCCCTAGCATTTCATATTAATGATCTCTCCCGAGGAGCGGAGAGGCGACGGGGAAGAAAAATTGCAGTACAAAAATGAGTTGCTGAAGGCAGGTCCCTGGCATTCTTCTTTGGTTAATTTTTCCAACTTAAATAAACAGATGTAAAAAATGAGATAAATAGAGAAAATAGTGTTTCTCCTTTTTTTTTTTTTTTTAAAAAATACTTATAGCATTAACCAAATCAGGCTTGATCCTAAGACACGTGGCACTGAATGAATTACATAGAAATTATATTCCAGTAATTCCAGGTGGGCAGTTCACAGTGGAATAGGGATTTTACTGGGGAATGCATATATATAGACAGATTAACCACAAGACCAGTAGTAGCACCAGTGGCACAATTAGACAGTGTGTTTGTGGAAATGCAAACCTGTCCTGGGGGCTTTGAAGCCAGTTTGATATCAATTAATGTAGGAGCAACAGTTTTCCATCCTTCAATGAATCGAGGTGTTGTTCCTAAGTGTGACAGCCCATACAGATGCCCAGAGTGCAGATGATATGGGTACCAGTCCTGGTACCATACACCCTGAAGATAAATATATTTTGATGGTATCCATGGACACTGGCAAAAAAGATAAACCATGGTTTTTTTCTGCACTCAATGATTTTTTCAGAGAAGAAATATTTCAGATGCTGTTGCTTGATTGAAAAAAAAAAATAAAGTAAACCAGAAGCTGAGAAACTTTAGGACTGATTTCTGATAACAGTTACAAGAGGCTTAGTGGCTGAACTTTCTGTGTTCCAATAAGATAAATTGGAATAGAAAATTGACATGATAAAAGAAGAGATTGGTGAAATAGACATTTTTGATGTGCCACCCTGAAATATACTGTATTTCATTAAATTATTCCTTCAGTTGAAGGAATAACATTTAAGTGCAATAAGATTAGGAATTTAAAGGACTTCAAGAGAGCTTCATTTCTCAGAGTGCACATTCAGGGACATTCTGACATTTAATTTCTTAGCAAAATATAAAGTGAAGCTAGAAAATAGGACACAATTAACATTTACTTAAAACTTGGATACAGTTTTGCATCAGTTCAAACAATGTAATCAGAATGAATGAATAATTTGCTCAGTGACTTTGCCTCTATTTCTGCTTACAAATGTTTTGTGAACAGCTTGCAGTTTTCTCAAAAACACCCATTCTTTTCTGGGAGGTACCAGTTATTCGTCAGATAAATTTTATGAGTAATTCCAGTCTTTTCTTGCTCAGTTCTATATTTAGATTTTCTGCTGTGGTGGCTAATATTGAGTGGGGGCTTAGGTCACCCATTACTATTTCTATTCTCTGACTGAGTGCAAATGCATATGGTTCTGAGCACCAGACTTAACTTCAAATGTCCTCTAATTTCTCTTAATATACTTATCCTCTCCAACACTGGTCAGAAATGAATTTAAAATGAAAGTGTACAAATATTAATTGACCTCAGCACCATTTTGAGCTGATGTGTCAGATATTTGATGTATTACTTTCTCAGTTCTAATTTTAAAAACACTGAATACAAAAATCTGAAGCAACATTTAGTCGAGGTGGTTGGAAGTTGCCTCTCAACCTAGGACTTTGCCATTGCCCTCTCTAGAGAGCAAAGCTTAGATGAGCAGCCTAAATTGAAAACCTCATTGCTAGATATCAAAATCTACATGAACATACTGTTTGAAGTAAATAAATATCAAAAAAATCTCAGCATTTTGTTGAAGAAACTGCTTCCTAGCAGGAAAAAAAAAAAAAAAGTTTTAGCAGACATTTCAATCACTGTTGTCTATTTTTATATACTTGCAAATGCATGCTGACCCTCTATATTATATCTGGTCTTAAATCTACAATTTTGCTTAGAATATTTGCTACAATTCCTCCTCTTCCAGCATGGGTCAGACTGATAGGCACAAATATCTGTTTATATTCTGATGAACACAAATTAGACCCTCAGTGCATCATTGACTTTTTGTGGGCTACTAAAGAGCAACACTGCTGTATCTCCATGCTGCTACCCCCTGCTATTTAAAGCCATTTTTTGCCATAAACTACTAGGGAATGAATGATGCATCATTTGAAATTGAGACATTAGTGCTCAGGAGGTTTCCTGGTATTATTCAGGGCTCCATGTGGAATTTCAGATCCATTCACATCGCCAACTGCTGCAATGGAAATGTCAGGTGCTCTGCACACTTGCTGTTTGTCTCCACAGGTGTTTCTCTGAATACAGGCTTTCTGTTACCCAGTTTGGATGCTGAACATTGAAGTCTTAAGTGTTTGATTCAAAATTCAACAAATAATGAACCCCAAGGGTACAATTCTACATTCCATTAACAATCTCTTTTGAGAGTGAAAAACAAAGTATTCTACAATTTTACCTTGAA